GAGTTTCATCTTAACTGACTGACTTGTTTTTTTCTTTTACAGCATCTTCATTTAAAACCACATCTCGGGTGTTGGTGGTGTTTTTTCTTCTAAATTGTGCCACTTTAGCCTCAGTTTTGTCCCAGTTAGCATGAAGTTCCACATTTGGCTGCTTCTAATCCCTGATTAAACCTTCAGCGTCCCGTGTTTGGTGCCTTCACTGTCACACGTCAGCGCGGAGACAACACAACGCGTCACGTCGCCGCCCGCCACGTCCACCCGGCGTCAGACGAGTCTTTGTCGAGTTATTAATAACACAAAGCAGGTGTGTGTGTGTGTGTGCGAGTGCGTGTCTGCAGGGCTGCTTGCATGCAAAGAATGCGGAGCTGGCTCTTCGGCGTGGACTCGGGGCCCCAGGGCCGCAGCTCCTTCTCCCGGTGTCAGCGCGGCGTCGTCCCCTAACCCCAGCGCTCGTACATCAACCTGAGCGCAACGTTGCGCTCACGTCAGCCGTCAACGTCCCGGCCACGTTCCTTCCCCCCCAAAGCTCATATATCAGCGTCGGGCCTAAAAAAGCCCGGGCTTGACAGCGGAGATAAGGCCCGGCTGTGTGTGTGTGCGCAGGCGCGTGCGAGCGTGCGAGTGTGTAGCTTGTGTGACAAAGTGAAATAGATTCTTTCCTGACATCCAAAAGCCCTCTTTTTCTCCCCATCACAGACGCCAGCCCATATCTGTGTGACAGAGACAGGTTGCAGTTGTAAATCATGCACACGCCGGTGAACACACACACACACACACACACACACACACACACACACGCTCGGTCGGATGTTGCGGCGGTGACGCGGGAAAATCACAAGGGGGCAGCAGCGCGTCGTCGGCGGCGCCTCCTCTCCTCCGCCGGTTCTAGGTCACGTCTCCGGGGAGATTATTATTCAATTATTAAATGAAGATCGAAACACTGTTCTCAATGTCTCCCTCTCTCCATCACTCCTCGGCGCGCTCCTCAAATCCTTCCCCAGTCCGTCTTCCTCTCCATCCACTCCTCTCATCCCCCCTTTTTCTCTTTTGAGGGGTCGGAAGATTAATTGTTCCAACATTCATCCTCTCGGCTCGCTCCTCTTCCTCCTCTTCACTTTCTCTCATTACATCATTTACTCGCCTGCAGAGGAGATTTACTTCTGCTGCTATTAGTGGTAAGAATAAAAATAAAATTTAAAAAAGAACGCTGTGAGGGAACTATATTTATAGTGAATGCAAAATAAAGAGAGAGAGAGACGAAGAGCATGAAGGGAGGGATGAGTTTGGTTCCACCGTGAATGCAAATTGAGCAAAAAGAGCAGCAGAATGGGGGGAAAAGAAAAGGTGGTAGGAGAAAGAAAGGCAAGTTTTCCAAGATGAAGGGATAACGGGAGGAAAGAGAGGGAGGAGAAGTGAGGGGGAGGGCAGCTCAGGGCATTCACAGTAATCTGAAAGCAAATCAAGATGAAAGATGGCGCCGGGTTTCCCACCGCGCGCGCATGTTTGTGTGCTCACCTGCTCGGGTTCGTGGGTTTCCGCGTGACACCCGAGCAGAGCTGCGTGATGCTGGAGGAAAGTGACGTTGAGATATTTGACTTTTTCAGCCGTAAAAGTGGGAAAAAACACAGGAAAAACTCAACTAATCATTCCAGAGTGACTGCGGTGGTTTAGGAGGAGGTTGCATCTGCGTTTGAAATAAAAAACATCTAAAATCTGCAGACAGATAATTGAGTAGTGCAGAGTTTGCTCAAGTGTGCATGGACAGCAGGGTACAAACTGGTGCAACTGGTGCTATTATACTGGGATAAATGGTTTGAAAGTCAATGCAAAAACAACTGGTTGAACAGCTTCATCAACTCTGCATCTAATCAGAGTAAAGTCTCATGATTAGGAAAATAAAATACTGAGAGTTTGAGAATGCATATTTTGGGAAAGATCAAAGCTACAAACTTAGCAAAATAAATTCTAATTTTATGAAAAAATACTGTATTTCAAGATACAAACACTAACTTTACTCCTGTTTTCACTAAATTCTACAACTTTACATCAGAATTTTAAAACTTTTTCAAGTCAAATCACACAAATGTTCCCATAAAATCACATCTTGTCCTCTCACATTGGGCCATTTACATGTCCCCCCCCCCCCCAAAAAAAATATTTCAGCTTTATTCTCAAAATAAAAACTTCTCTTCAGTTTGGATTCTTCTGCTTTATTTATTTATTTTTTTGCTTTGGATGACATTCCGATCAGGCGTTGCATTCCTCACTCAGAGCCGATTCAAATGACAAAACAACTTGTATTGTGTTGTTGTGCACATGAGGAGCCTGCAGGTCAACAAACTGCATCCATCCAGGAAGCCTTAAATCAGACTTTTCTTCTACATGAGTCATACAAAATGAAAAATGTGGATCAAGCAGCAACATAAACTTCCCTCTGCACGGTAACGTCGATGTGTAAATCGATAGATTGTGCATCGTGATCTGCTCGGCCTTCGTTTGCGCACATGAAACACGCAGATGTTCTGATTTCACCGTGTTGGTCTCAACAGCAGATCCTGCATCGTGTCAAAGTGGCATCGCAGACCTTCACACGCTGCTGATAATCAGTGAGATTACACCGCGGCGAGCGCGTTGCACGATCAAACTCTTTAAGGCATATCTGTACGTGACAATCACTCTGCTGCCACTCATGAA